TTGTTTTTCGGGAATTGAGCTGCAGGATTTGCTTGTATATTTTTGAGATTAATTCTTTGTCGGTTGCTTCATTTGCTATTATTTTCTCCCATTCTGAAGGCTGTCTTTTCACCTTGCTTATAGTTTCCTTTGTTGTGCAAAAGCTTTTAATTTTAATTAGGTCTCATTTGTTTATTTCTTCTTTTATTTCCAATATTCTGGGATGGGTCATAGAGGATCTTGCTGTGATTTATATTGGAGAGTGTTTTGCCTATGTTCTCCTCTAGGAGTTCTATAGTTTCCGGTCTTACATTTAGATCTTTAATCCATTTTGAGTTTATTTTTGTGTATGGTGTTAGATAGTGTTGTAGTTTCATTCTTTTACAGGTGGTTGACCAGTTTCCCCAGCACCAATTTTTAAAGAGATTGTCTTTTCTCCAGTGTATATTCTTGCCTCCTTTGTCAAAGACAAGGTATCCATAGGTGTATGGGTTTATCTCTGGGCTTCCTATTTGTTCCATTGATCTATATTTCTGTCTTTGTGCCAGTACCATACTGTCTTGATGACTGTTGCTTTGTAGTATAGCCTGAAATCTGGCAGGTTGATTCCTCCAGTTCCATTCTTCTTTCTCAATGTTGTTTTGGCTATTCAATGTTTTTTGTATTTCCATACAAATTGTGAAATTATTTGTTCTAGTTCTCTGAAAACTACTGTTGGTAGCTTGTTAGGGATCGCATTGAATCTATAGATTGCTTTGGATAGTATACTCATTTTCACTATATTGATTCTTCCAATCTTTGAACATGGTATATTTCTCCATCTATTTGTGTCTTCTTTGATTTCTTTCACCAGTGTTTTATAGTTTTCTATATACAGGTCTTTTGTTTCTTTAGGTAGCTTTAATCCAAAGTATTTTATCTTTTCTTGGCAATGGTGAATGGAATTGGTTCCTTAATTTTTCTTTCTGTTTTCTCATTGATAGTGTATAGGAATGCAAGGGATTTCTGTGTGTTAATTTTATATCCTGCAACTTCACTATATTCATTGATTAGCTCCTGTAATTTACTGTTGACGTCTTTAGGGCTTTCTATGTAGAGCATCATGTCATCTGTAAACAGTGAGAGTTTTACTTCTTCTTTTCCAATCTGGTTTCCTTTTATTTCTTTTTCTTCTCTGAATGCTGTGGCTAAAACTTCCAAAACTACTTTGAATAGTAATGGTGAGAGTGGGCATCCTTGTCTTGTTCCTGACTTTAGGGGAAATGCTTTCAATTTTTCACCTTTGAGGACAATGTTTGCTGTGGGTTTATCATATATGACATTTATTATGTTCCTTCTTTGCCTGTTTTCTGGAGGGTTTTTTTCATAAATGGATGTTGAATTTTGTCAAAGGCTTTCTCTTCATCTATTGAGATAATCATATGGTTTTTATCTTTCAGTTTGTTAATATGGTGTATCACATTGATCGATTTGCAAATACTGAGGAATCCTTGCATCTCTGGGATAAAGCCCAGATGTATGTCATGATGTAAGATCTTTTTAATATGTTGTTGGATTCTGCTTGCTAGAATTTTGTTAAGGATTTTTGCATCTATATTCATCAGTGATATTGATCTGTAGTTTTCTTTTTTGTGTGATATCTTTGTCTGGTTTTGGTATTAGGGCAATGGTGGCCTCATAGGATGAGTTTGGAAGTTAACCTTCCTCAGCAATTTTCTGGAAGAGTTTGAGTAGGATAGGTGTTAGCTCTTCTCTAAATTTTTGGTAGAATTCAGCTGTCAAGCCATCTGGTCCTGGGCTTTTGTTTGTTGAAAGGTTTCTGCTTACAGTTTCTATTTCTGTGCTTGTGATGGGTCTATTAAGATTTTCTGTTTCTTCCTAGTTCAGTTTTGGAAAGTTATACTTTTCTAATAATTTGTCCATTTCTTCCAAGTTGTCCATTTTTTTTTTTTTGGCATACAGTTGCTGGTAGTAGTCTCTTATGATCCTTTGTATTTCTGTGTTGTCTGTTGTGATTCTCCATTTTCATTTCTAATTTTGTTGACTTGATTCTTCTCCCTTTTTTTCTTATCTCTCCATGCTATTCTCTGGAACTCTGCAGTCAGCTGGGTGTATCGTTCCCTTAGTCCTTTGCCTTTCACTTCCCTTCTTTCTAAGATATTTTTAAGGCCTCCTCAGACAACCACTTTGCCTTTTTGCATTTCTTTTTTATTGGGGATGGCTTTGGTCACCATCTCCTGTACAATGTTATGAACCTCTGCCTGTAGTTCTTCAGGCACTCTGGGTACCAGATATAGGGCCTTGAATCTATACATCATCTGCTGTATAATCATAAGGGATTTGATTTAGGTCATACCTGAATGGCCTAGCAGTTTTCCCTACTTCTTTCAATTTGAGCCTGAATTTTCCAATAAGGAGTTGATGATCTGAGTCACAGTCAGCTCCAGGTCTTGTTTTTGCTGACTGTATAGAGCTTCTCCACCTATGGGTGTAGAATGTAATCAATCTGATTTTGGTATTGACCATCTCTTGATGGCCACGTGTAGAGTTGTCTCTTGTGTTGTTGAAAGAATATGTTTGCTATGACCAGTGTGTTTCTTGGCAAAACTCTGTTAGCCTTTGCACTGCTTTGTTGTGTACTATATGGATGATAGCAAATTATTTCCCAAATTGACTGTCCCAATTTATATTTCTACTAGCAGTATAATTTTATAATGCTTCATATTTTTTAAACTCCTAATATTTATCCCCAGGACTCTAGTTTTTGTTATCTATTGGTGTGTGGAGGGCTTCCACTGTGATTTAATTTGAGACTAGTGATTTTAAAAGTATTGTTTCTTAATCAGTTTGTGGCATCACCCAAGGACTTGTTAGAAACGAAAATTCTTAGACCTCGCTCAGATTGACTCAAGGGACCTGGCCACAGCTCCATGGCCATGTCCAGTCTTAGAGAAAAGTGTAAAGACCATAATTTTCCCTTCCAAGCCCAAAGTGTTACTGGCAAAAATCCTAAGTTGTGTAGAAATGGGGTTGCTTCAGGCACAGACTGTTTCCTCTATACCTAGTTCTTCTCTGAAATCAGAATCAGGGCATTCAGTGGAGGATCTCACTGGTGATCTGATCTCCTTTGTATCCCCTGTTTCCTATCACAACATGATACTATTGCTGCTTAAACAAAAGAAAACTCAATGATGATCATCAGAGCAAAAGATTTTATACACTTTTCTTAGCAATTGGCATTTTATTTATACAACAAACAAACAAACAAACAAACAAAAGACCATGTCCCCGTTTAACAAATTCTGATGTTACAAATATGCACAAACTTCTAGTCTGTTGTATGAGTGTGTGTGTGTGTGTGTGTGTGTGTGTGTGAGGGTATATGTTTTCTTACTGTGTATATAATCTCACCAGACACAGAAAAATACACACACACACTCTCTCTCTCTCACACACACACACATAATTTATTTTTTTTTACCCTAACAAGTTTACTTATAAACATTTTGGCCTATATTCATACAGGCTTTTAGGTCAGTGCTAGAGATTTACCTATTACAGGTTTTTTCTCTCTATGGAAAAACTGAACCCTATTTATCTATTTCTATATTGATGGGCATTTAGATTATTTCTAATTTTTTTCCATTATGAAAAATGCTGCAATCAGTGAGTGTTTGTATACATATAGATTATACACTCAATATAGCGTTACTGAAGGCATGAGTCTAGAATACAAACAATGGGACATGTGGAGTGGTCAGAAATTTTCAATCATAAAGCTTCCCACATAAAACCCGATTAGTTATTCTAGGAGGTGCTCTTTAAAATGCAAATGCACAGGCCCACATGAGACCTATTGAATAATAGTTCCACGAAGAATGTAGAAGAAGAATAAATGATAAAATATTCAGATATAAAATAAAGCTTAAAATCACTTTATTTTTTAAATTTAAAAATTTTTAATTATTTTAAAAATCCTTATTTTAAAATTACTCAATTATTAGAGTAATAATAGAGAATACATGAAGAAACAAAAGTGAACAGTCCTTGCCTAGATGACTCTACTTCCCAGAGCATTCCAGTATGTCTCTGCCTGGTTCTAGAAGCTCCTAACTTTATCTGCATTTAATATTCACATGTAGGTTTTAATACACTCATTAGAATAGTAAATTATAAGTACATATAAACTCATTCCCTGGGAAGCAAACAGATATGGTTGGTTATGATGGTGGCAATAGGGGATTCTCTAAGGAGAACTGAAGCTAAAGAGGGGACAAGACCAGTACCTTGAGGCACAAATACCAGATGACCAGGGTTGAGAGCCAGAGGCAACTCAGCTTCATGTACCCTGGTCTGATTATCAGGGCAGGTGTGTGCTGAACTACTAGGTACTTGGCTAAGCAGGGCTAAGAGTTGGCTTTTTGTTCACTACAGAGCACAGAACATTCTGCTGTCAAAATATGGAAGAAGGAAGAGGCACAATCTCTGTATAACTGTTGTACTAGACACACTCCCAAATTATATTAAGAGAATCAAAAGTTATTGCACAGATGTATGTTCTAGGAAATTCTGTGGGAAACAAAGTTTTCAACAGCATTTGGAGCAATGAAAAAGATGTGGTTTCCTGGAGAAGAGGAAGACAGGAAGAGAGTTGCAGATATATGAAAACTGGAAGACAAGATTTTGGTAGACCTGGAGCCTATTACTGAATCATCATAAAGTCTCCATGGTTAGGAGTTGTATGTGTAAAGAAGTGGGTGCAACCCAACATACATGACACTTGTGAGTGTCTACTGACCTACAAGAATTTATGAGGTGTATGAGGAACCAGCAGAAACAGGATCTAGAGCCTCAGAGAAACCCATGAACATATCCCAAAAAGGCTAGGATTTCCTCCTTCTGGCTAGGATTTTCCTCCTGCCCATCAGCTTCCCTAGGCCCCTCTTCATGTCTTTGTTTCTCAGACTGTAAATGAAAGGGTTGAGCATGGAGGACAGAACCGTGTAGACAAGTGTAGCCACTCGGTCCCGAACAGTGTAGCTGGACAAGGGCTGTAAATAGACATAGAAGATGCTTCCATAAAACAGGATCACCACAGTGAAGTGGGAGCCACAGGTGGAGAAGGCTTTGCGTCTCCCTGCAGCAGAGGGGATCCTGAGAACTGCTACGAGGATTTGCACATACGAGAAAACAATGCATAGGAAGGGGGTCACCCAAAACACCAGTCCTTCTGTCTTTATTGTGAGATCGTTGACAAATATGGAGGAGCAGGACAATTTCAGCAGAGGGTTGATGTCACAGAGGAAGTGGTGGACAACATTGGAGTTGCAGAAGGTGAGCTGATTCAGCAGAAGTATGTGTAGGAGTGAGTGAAAGTGAGGCAATGAGCAGGAGATGGCCACCAGCAGGACACAGGTGCGGCGGCTCATGATGGTGACATAGTGGAAGGGATCACAGATGGCCACATAGTGGTCATAGGCCATGGCTGCCAAAAGAAAACTATCAGTGTTGCCAAAGGCATAGAAAAAATACATCTGGGTCAGACATCCAGCATAGGAGATGGTCTTCTTCTCTAACAGGAAGTTCACCAGCATCCTGGGGACAATGGTTGTTGAGAAGCAAGTGTCAATGAAAGACAGGACACTCAAGAAGAAATACATGGGGGTGTGCAGTTGGGGGTCAGAGTGGATGGCCAGGATGATGAGCACATTCCCTGTTATGGTGACCAGGTATATGATGAGGAAGAGGATAAAGAGTGGCTTCTGGTCCTCTGGCCTCGAGGAAAGTCCCAGGAGTATGAACTCAGAGACACTGCTGGTTTGGTTGAGTCTTTCCATTGCCTTGTGTCTAGTTAGGTACAATAAGGTTTGTTATTTATCATGCTCCAATTCCATAACCCAAATTACAAGAACCCAGCAAGTCTTTGTTGTCCTCTATTTAGGCACTATTAGCTGTTGTGCTGGGAAAGCTTGTTACCCTCATAGTCCCTTGATGGGGTCCTTCCTTCCCAAATCCATGTCATCATAAGGGCCTTCCTGAAATCTGAAGGAACAGAAGAAGAGTTTTCCTTTAGAAACCATCACAGCTGGACCCCTTGATTCAAGTTCCTTAGTTCCTAGTCTGTGAAATCTGTGTCCCTGCTGGGAATACAGCAATAGAACAAAAATTCTTGCCCTTGTGTAATTCATGTAGCTTGGGTGATAAGTCAGAAGATCACAAACAGTATATGTAGTATAATATCAGGTAGTGATACATATATGTAGCTGTACAGAATACTTCAAGGATGTATACTGTCACCCTGATTATTTAACTTATATTAAGATTACACCATGCAAAATGCCAGGCTGGATGAAGCATTAGCTGGAATCAAGACTGCTGGGAGAAATACCAATAACCTCAGATGCCAAGATGATGCAACCTTTATGGCAGAAGGTGAAGAGAAACTAAATGGCCTCTTGATGAAATTGAAACAAGAGAGTGAAAAATCTGACTTAAAACTCAACATTCAAAGAATTAAGATCATGGTATCCAGTCCCATCACTTCATGGAAAATAGATTGGGAAACAATGGAAACAGTGGCAGACTTAATTTTCTTGACTTCCAAAATCACTGTAGATGGTGATTGCAGTCATGAAATAAAAAGATGCTTGCTCCTTGGAAGAAAAGCTATGACCATTCTAGACAGCATATTAAAAAGCTGAGACATTACTTTACTAGGTCCATCTAGTCAAAGGTATCATTTTTCCAGTAATCATGTATGGATGTGAGAGTTGGACTATAAAGAAAGCTGAGCACCAAAGAATTGATGTTTTTGAACTATGGTGTTGGAGAAGACTCTTGAGAGTCCCTTGGACTGCAAGAAGATCAAACCAGTCCATCCTAAAGGAAATCAGTTCTGAATTTGGAAGGACTGATGCTGAAGATGAAACTCCAATACTTTGGCCACCTGATGTGAAGAACTGACTCATTGGAAAAGACTCTGTTGCTGGGAAAGACTGAAGGCAGGCAGAGAAGTGGACAACAGAGGATTAGATGGATACTGTTACCGACTGGATGGAGATGAGTTTGAGCAAGCTCTGGGTGTTGGAGATGGACAGGGAAGCCTGGCATGCTGCAGTCCATAGGGTTGTAAAGAGTTGGACATGACTGAGCAACTGAACTGAACTGAGTGATACATTTGTTAAAAATAGAGTATTATTAGTATAAGCATATAGAGATCATTGGAGGTGGGGAGAATTTCAGATATTGAAGTCACAGGACCCACATTCTTTACAAAGGCAAATTCAGTTGTTATAAAACTAGACTTTGCATGTCTTCGATAGAAATAAGCATTTGCCAAAATAATCAACAGTGAATATCTGAGAGGAATATTGAATCCAATTCAACAGTGTTTTTTCCTTATTTGTACACAGAATGAAAGGTTAAGCCCTCCTTAACTCATGGCATGCTATCATCAATCTGTGCAAATCTCCCTTTTTATAAATCATTCATCACTTCATTAATCCCCTGTCCTATACCACTTTTGTACAGCAGGGCATCCATTGTTAACTATACAATTCATGTTTTAAAATTTCTTCTCTCATATATTTATTCAAAGAAACCTATGAGAAACATGTAAATATGTGTCTTCCAGTCATACCCAGGACATCAAGCCTTATGTGTGTGTGTGTGCTCAGTCGTTCACTCATGTCCAACTCATTGAGGTCCCAAGGACTATCGCCTACCAAACTCCTTTGCCCATGGAATTTCCCAGGCAAGAATACTGGGGTGAGGTGCCATTCCCTTCTCTGGGCGATCATCCCAGGGATTGAATGCTTATCTCCTACAACTCCTACACTGGCAGGCAGATCCTTTACCACTAGCACAACCTGGGAAGGCCTTGAAGTCATATATGATATATTAATTCATTGATTGATATGCTAATTTATTTAACATTGTTAAATTAATATATTCCTTCATTTATAATTAACTGCTCATATTTTTATTTCAGTTATTAAACATCTTTAAGCCACAAGTACTTCACGTGTAATATAGGACACAGATATTCACATTCTCATGAAGATTTGGAGAGATAATGCATGAAAACACTTAGAAGAGAGAAAAGCATATTGTCAGCATGGAGGAGAAACTGTTGATCCTCATCAGTCCCTGTGTCACCTCCCTTTATCTTCTGTTTCCTGATGTTCTCAAAATCAATTAATTTATGTATGTAACATATGACATCCCTCACTGCCAAATTGTCTGGCTAATTTCAGGATTTGGCAGGTTTTTATGGAAAGAATATTTGTTTATGCCTCGAGTAATTGGATGAATCATAATTAAAGCTAATAACAATAACCAATACTTATGAGTAAGTATTATGTACCAAGCTTATGCTAAACATGCCACTAAATCCCAAGGAATTATGAAACCTTTCAGAGACTAAGGCTTACAGAGGTGAAGTGGTTTGTTGAAGTTCACTAAGGATGTGGGAAGCAGTCAGGATTGGAACTCCAAGCTGGCTCACTCTGAGTTGATGACCTCCGGTGTTAAGCTTCCCCTCCTCTAGTTATGGTATGTTAATCGTCTATCACCATCAACAAAGGCACTGGTTTTATTGTTCTAAAAATTTCCTACTAGAATTGCCCTTATACTCTCTGACACACTTTCTTCTCCCATATTCAGAATTTATCTTTTTATTTGCTAGAGAGGTGGCCTATCTTTCTGTGTTGTAGAGATGGTGGAATTTGAAAATTTGTGTATCCATGATTAACAGGCCTAATCGGGTGGAAATATTGGCCATATATGGCTGTGGCATGCCTGGTGTGGGGAGCTGGTGTCGTGCAGTGACAGCGCCCTCTGCTGAAGACAAAAAGTGAGGGGTTTGATTTATCCTGCATCACCTGCTCACAAGCTGGTTCCTAACGTTTTATGAATAACAAGGGAGACACCATATCTGTAAAGCAGTACATCACACACAGATCAATATTCAAAAGTGAGTCATTTGTGAAAGGGCTGCCTGGGGAATGTGTGATACAAAAATTAGCGGAGATTTGGTGAATTAATGGAATTGATTCTCTAGCTCAGAGAAGCGAGGAACACCAAGGCTGATGACTAGAAACAAGTAGGAGGATTTCTGATGGGAGAATCAGGAAGAACATTATAAAAGCAGAGGGTGAGTGGATCAGTCCAAGACTGCAATCTTTTTTTCTCTCTCTATTTTTTTTCTACTTGTGTGGTTTTGTTTACATAAAAACAAACGGTATATACGGCCTAGAAGTCCAACTGGCTGGACTTAAAACCAAATTCCAAAAGGAAGTTTTACTTCCATGGACCTATGACTTCTCAATTTGTGAAATATTTGAAAGTATCAGGGAGAAAAGAGTAAGGTACCAAACTGGGTTGGAGTAGCCAACTGAATGGCTAGCTCCTGAAGCTCACCTCCACATCGAGATGCTTTTCTTTCCTTCCCAGCCACTCCAGAAGATGATGTGCACCACGTCTGTTAATCAAGTCAACTCTGCTTCTCAGCCAAAGTTCAGCTTTGGCATGTGTCTCCCATGTACTTCTGGACTGATTGACAAGGAGAGAAGCAGGGATGGAGGAGGAGCTGCTACACTACTCCAAAGTGATAACAGGTTTCCCTTCCCTGACCACAACTGCCACTTCATCTCTAACATCTGGTCCCTAGCTCTCTACTGCTTCTGCCAGCTCCAGATCTCAGAAGGCAGAGATGCTCTGACTCAAGTGGGAGGACCCCCCTGACTGAGGAAACCCAGCCAGCTTCTCACGAGTCTTGGGTCTGCTCTACTGGCCTCTGCTCTACTGGCCTCTGGGGTGCTTGTTAGCCTGAGGGAGTTGAGGTGTGATGACCTCTCTAGAGAGTTTGTCCTGGGATCTCTGTTGGCAGAGAAAGCAGAATGGAAATCACAGCCAGCACTGCTGACTCTGAGGGGACAGGGGACCCTTGAGATTTCCTGTTTAGATGTTGGGACTAATCTCAGATCTTCTGAACCTTAGTGCACTATCTCATGGGCATGCTTCAGTTTTCCCAACTAAGTTTTATATGGATAAATACTAACAAGGGGTGAATATTTTTATTTTTGACATTCAAATGTGGACCAAGGTGTATTCTAGGTCCTGGCAGGTCATAGGTTTATATATTGGAAGGTTAAAGCTTTCAGGGAATGCAGTGGTAGATCTATGTGCTCTCAGGGTCTGTGCTTCCCAGTATCTGGGTTGGCGTGTGGACTAGACCTTTCCCCATATGGTATGCAGTTAACGTTTATGTATGTTTAAAGCACAGAGTCATGCAAAGGATATTGTCATATGTAACAAATGGGTGTTGGATAAAAATGCATGTGTTTTCAGAGTTTATTCTGAGAGCAGTATTTGAAGTTTAGTGTTGAGGAAATGAGATATTTATTAGAATATTTCCCTTTTCTGTTAGTAGTTATGTTTAAGAAGTTAATAGCCTATAGAAGGTTCAAGCTCTTCCTTCACTAAATGAGGATAACACCACTCCTTGACATGAAAATTGGAGAGGAAATTTCCTTTTGAATTTTATACAGAAAATATGGTGTATTTTCGTGAACATCATCCATAGCAAAGTTACAGGGAACAAAGTACATTTGGCTACTGCCCTCAAAATAAACCACTGCCTCATGCAATACCCATGAGTCCTTTTCCTTAGTAGTGAGTTTATGTTTTAAAACTTGAGTCTACAAATTAAGAGTAAGTAATGTAGAGACAGAATTCTTGGCTTTGGGTCTTGTCTCCTCCAGTTACTATTCATGTGTCTGTCTGTCTTTCTATTCATTCATCCTCTTGACAAGTATTATTTATTTTTTCTAGCTTT